TCATTAAGGAAACTGGCCTGTAGTTTTCTTTTTTAGTTGGATCTTTACCTGGTTTTGGAATCAGAGTGATGCTGGCCCCATAAATGTATCTGGAAGCACTCCATCCCCTTCAATTTCTTTGAAGAGTATTAGTATAGGTGTTATGACATCCTTAAAGGTTTTGTAGAATTCAGCCATGAATCCATCAGGTTCTGGGCTTTTCTTAGTTGGTAGATTCTTTATTTCTATCTCAATTTCACTGCTTGTTATTGGATTGTTTAGTATTTTTGTGTCTTCTTGAATTAGCTTTTGTAATTCGTATGAGTCTAGGAATTTGTCCATTTCTTCAAAATCTTCCAATTTATTAGGATATAATTTTTCCTTAGTAGTTAATATCTATCCTCTGGATTTTGATAGTGTGTGTGGTCATTTCATCCTTTTTGTTTCTAATTTCATTGATGTAAGTCTTGTATTTCTCTTGCTAAGTTTGGCTAAAGGTTTATCTGTTTGGTTATTCTTTTGAAAAATCAGCTCTTCAGTTCATTGATCCTTTGTATTGTTTTTTTCAGTCTCAATTTCATTGTGCTCTTCTCACTTTGGGTTTGGGAGTGGATTATTGTTTTCCAAGTATCTTAAGGTTTCTCATAAGTTTATTTATTTGAGCTTACTCTGCATGATTAATGTAAGCATTACCTGGTTCATTTCTGGATGTTTGTGTGCTGTTAGAAAACTGTGCTAGAAAATTACCAAAGCCACATTGTGGTTATTGATTTTTATTTTCTGAATTCGCCCTTCTTCCTCCTCTTTCACCCTCAGACAGTCCTTCCATCATTGATTTCTCAGATTACTGACAATGAATCCATAACTTAGCCTGCAAATTATTTCAGAATTCAATGCTAAAGGCAAACTCAATGTGATTTTGAGCTTATCTTTCAGTGGACTGTCTGTCTTACTTTGATGTGAAATAACCTTTTCGTATTATCTGTATTGCCATTTCTATGTTAGGACACGTCCTTAATGGGGAGAATGAGGAAAAGGAGGGCCTGAGCAGCGTCTTTCTTTTACTCAGATGGAATCAATTTCCCCACCCATTGGTCCCATTTCTTCCTACCAGGTCTTCTCCTGAAACATAATTTCAAAACAATAACCCCAAAAATAATTTTTCCAATTTCCACATTCTGTACCTCAGTCTCTGCCCCTCACAGGCCCATGCTGATCCATACACCTACAAAGCCTACTCCTTGTCACTAGCTCTCTGAACAGCTAAATCCCAGGGCAGCCCAACAGCCCTGAGGAGTTCTTGGAGTTTGTCTTCTCTGTCTTGAGTCTGCTCTGCATTTTATGTATGATTTCTCTTCCCCTCTCCATTCTTCCTGTCTCTCCTAAGCTATATTCCTTTTTAGAATCTGTATCTATGCTGAGCATATCTCTACTCTTTAAACTTTTTAGGAAAAACATACATAACTAGTTTCTGTTTTGCCTTCCTCCACTCCTACTAATAATAACATAATTGTGTAACTTCCTTCCAAAGTTTCACATTACTTCCCCATCCTAAAATGATTCTTCCTTTATTATTCAAGATGATGTCCAGTGTAGGAGTTTCTGTTACTTCTTCATGGTTTCTCAGGGAAACCATATGGCAGGAAACTCTCAAATGCCCAACCTGATGACAAATGAAGTGGGAACACCAGATGACAACTCTGTAGACATCCCCAACCCTTGTTTCAAACTTTGTATTAAAAGGAAAGCTCCCACCAACAGCAACTGGGCGACCCATGGTGGAAATCACAGCACTGCGTCTCTTCCCTTCTCTATTCTTCATTCTTCTCCATTCTTTCTCCTGTGCTGAAGCCTCCGGTCTGTGGTCACATCAGGCGGAGAGGAAGCCGTGAAGGGTGGCTGTAGTACTTCAGGTTGAAGGACCTGCTTTTACACCTGGACCTGCCTCCACATTCTGACCACATAATGCTTGTTTCTTCACCAAGCTGGGCTCAGTGTTTCCATATTAACATGGACAGAATAATACCGACCACAAAAGGCTGTTTTGTGAATATCAAAGAACATAAGATACACACACATACTCAGTACATTGATGCATGGCTTTGGAACAGAAGACAGTTTTAAAAGCACAAACTGATCTATGAGCACCGTTCTCTAGAAATCAGGCTGAGTGGGAGCATGGGTGGAAAAGAAAGCAGATTAATAAGTGACCACCTTCTGTGGTGTTTACTTCTAAATGAAACATTTCCACTTTTTAAATCTAAAGAAATCAATTCTAAAAGGAACAACTCCCTATGATAAAAGTACCTGAACATTTTGCTTTACTCTTCATTTGTATTAAATGTTTCTAATGTAACTCTGCAAATCCTAACTTTGAATTCTATTATTGTGCCATGCTACTGAAGACAGATGATACAATTGAGCTGATACTTGCTTATTAGCAACCCATCTTCACATTCCAACACACCAGACATGGTGCTTTTTCTAAGGCTAGTTGTGATCTCCTTGTGACAGCCCACGCATGGGGTATACACAACCATCCTTAAGAGGATGACACTAATCCCTGCTCCATCTGGCCCACACCTTCCCTAACAGGCTGCCACTTGCCATGCCCCTTCCTTGTGCATCCATCTTGCCATATTGCCCTCCTTCCATGGCTACTCATCTTCTCAGGTAGCTGCCTTGACTGTAGTTTGTTCTTGGATATGCTGGGGAGGTGGACATGAAGCCCCAGGACCCTATCGGCCAGAAGACAAGAACTCATCTTCTTCAGCAGCTTTTCATTCCTCCTGCTCCTCCGGGGGAAGAAGGTTTCAGCAGGTAGGATCCTCTCACTGTGATTTCTACCTGCCAGAAGATAATGTCTCCTGGTATTTTTAGGTCTTCCATTCTCCATCTCCCAGAGTTGATCAGGTCCTGATAAATGTAACTTGAAGATGAGAAAACTGGTGCATGGAGAAGAACCGGCCTATCAGTGCTCCCCAGAAAGTCGGTAATCCTGTCTCTGCAGACACAGCTTCCATCAGGGCATGGAGCCAACAGGAACCAGTTCCTCAGGATGACAGCACCTGCTGCTTCAGTCTGGCTGAGAAAACAAGCAACACGCCTTGCTCGACTGAGCCAGGGCAGGCTTTCATGTCAACTCTTTGACCCTGAGGAAAGAAGTAGTACATGGTGCACCAGCCTTCACCTACCCACTCATTCACCACCACTCCATTCCTGAAAATTTGCCCATGTCTTGGAATACCAAATGCAACCAGGATGTGGGGCTCTGGTCTTCCATTGTATTGTGTGCCATGCTCCATACTCCTGAGCTGTTCTGTTCATGGTTAAGTGAAAGGAACGGGATTTGAAATGAGATGTATTTTGTTAGCTCTGGGTATATCCAGAGCAAGACTGCACAGTAGGCCAGATCTGCAGTAACACGCTGTGGCTGGGTACAGGCTTGGTTGCTGGTTCCTTCGCCACAGGAACAATGATTAATCAGGACTGGGATGTCAGTCGTTTTGTGATGCTCATGCTCGTTGCTGATAGCTGTCTATTTCAAGCTGTGCTGCCTCCTACCAAATACGAAGGTGAAACCACAATTTCCAGGGGGAAAATTTTAAAGTGTTCATACTTATTCCAATGCCCATAGCGTATACTGAGATACATATTCAAGTTATTTTTATTAAGGTCCACTTTGAATACCATATAATTAAAGTCGATATACAGAGATTTCAGAAGCCAGGAAAATACGAATAAATCTATTTTTGCATACACATACAATCCAGTTAGAAATGTATAAATATATATTTCTGCAAATACTCTCTGCAATGCTCCTTAATGAAATGTCATTTTCCTTTTTTATTCTACAATAAATAAAACCGGTGAAATACTATTGATAGCTGACTTATAAGACATTTTAAAATTTTGATTCAGAGTAGGATTTAAATATTTTGAAGTAGGTGATTCATTCTTGCCAATGTCCTCAGTACTTCCTTAATTCTTTTCTAATCAAAAATCCCATAAGAGTAGTATATTTATATAATTTCAGAGTCCAAGTATAATCAAATTTTAAGCAAAAGAATGCAAAAGAAAAGTTGATCAAGTTTTTCGGAAGTTTTGAAAAGTATATGCCTAAAATTTCAAATGGGCCAAATAGAATTTCAATAGAATTGATTTTTTTTCTTAACCTAGATAATAAATGTCTAATTTGGACTGTCCATGTGGCACACAGTTCCCAAATTAAACTCTTTCAGAGGCTGGCGTTTTTAGCAAAAGAGGGGGAAGTGAGAATTAAACACCCAGCCTCCTTCTATACAGCGCAGTCAACTTGTCTAAAACCTGAGTTTGGCCAATTCACTGTGGCTCCTTGTCTGAGCTGGGGTGGGACCCTGAGAGGCTGCGACCACCACCCAGGGCAGGTGCAGGTGCACGTTTTCCCGTGGAGACCCTGCAGAGTCTAGGAAGGCCTAGGCAGGGGCCTGCTGGGGTCCGCAGGATGCCGTCCGGTGCACATGTCTGCCGTGGGGCCTGCTCCAGATGTCCAAGGGAGGTGTCTAGGGAGCACCTGGTGCATCTCAAGGACGGCCCAGGTCGGGGTCCAGGGTGCGCCTGCGCATATCCGGGAAGGTCCACAGGGTGCCCAGGAGCGCTTGGCATCTCTGGAGCTGTCTCAGTGGAGTGCCCAGGCGTCTCAGGGACTGTCCTGAGCAGCGTCCAGGGAGGTGTCCAGGGAGGGGGTCCATCTCAGGGGCTGCCCAAGTCCGCATCCAAGCTGAGCGGGATGCATCTCTGGCAAGGTCCACGGTGGTGTCCAGCAGTGGAGCTTGGGCATCTCGGGGATGGTGCTGGGCAGTGTCCAGGTCGGGTCCAGGGAGGAGCACCCCACGTGCGTCTCAGGCTGTCACCCAGCGCCACAAGGCTGAGGTGCAGCGCGCGCCTGGTGCGCCAGCTCTGCGTCCAGGTGGCCTCGGGCTCAGGTCGGTCGCCAAGGCCCGATCTGAGTCCCCGCCCGCCTCCCGCCCCTCTCCCCGCAGGTGGCCAACCTGCTGCGGCTCTTCCGCATCCCCCAGGTGAGCTACGCCTCCACGAGCGCCAAGCTCAGCGACAAGTCGCGCTACGACTACTTCGCGCGCACCGTGCCGCCCGACTTCTACCAGGCCAAGGCGATGGCCGAGATCCTGCGCTTCTTCAACTGGACCTACGTGTCCACCGTGGCGTCGGAGGGCGACTACGGCGAGACCGGCATGGAGGCGTTCGAGCAGGAGGCTCGTCGCCGGCGCATCTGCGTGGCGGCGGCCGAGAAGGTGGGGCGCTCCGCGCTGCGCCGCTCCTACGACGGCGTGGTGCGCGAGCTGCTGCGCAAGCCGGGCGCGCGCGTCGTGGTGCTGTTCACTCGCGGCGACGACTCGCGCGAGCTGCTGGCGGCCGCGCGCCGCGCCAACGCGTCGCTCACGTGGGTGGCGAGCGACGGCTGGGGCGCGCAGGACAGCGTAGTGCGCGGCAGCGAGCGCGCGGCGCGGGGGGCGCTCACACTGGAGCTGGCCGCGCGCCGCCTGCCGCAGTTCGACCGCTACTTCCAGGCGCTCACGCCCGCCGGCAACCTGCGCAACCCCTGGTTCCGCGACTTCTGGGAGCAGAAGTTCCAGTGCAGCCTGCGGGGCGGCCCGCGGCGCGCGTGCTCCGAGCACCTGGCCCTGGACAGCAGCAACTACGAGCAGGAGTCGAAGATCATGTTCGTGGTGAACGCCGTGTACGCCATGGCGCACGCCCTGCACCGCATGCAGCGCGCGCTGTGCCCCAACACCACCAAACTGTGCGACGCCATGAGGGCGCTGGACGGCCGGAAGCTGTACCGCGACTTCCTGCTCAAGATCAACTTTACAGGTGAGGGGCGGCGAGGCGCGGCCGGACGGGGTACAGGAGGTGGCGCCCAGCGGGGCACGTGTCGCTCTGCCCGCAGGCAGAAAGCCCTGTGTCCCCGGGGTGCGGGTGCAAGGGGGTGAAACCCGCGTGCACCTCAGCCGGCGGGCAGCTCCACGGGTGAGCGGGTGAGGCCCGTCCCTTGGGCAGGGGGTGAAGGCCCCACAGGACCCGTAAACCTCTGCCCAGGCAGGATGCCCTGTGTCAGGGCCACAGAAAGGGCCTTCCTTGGGGCGCAGGGGCGAAGTCCAGCAGGGACTGCCTGATGGAGATCAGCGTCGCAGGTGAGTGGCTGCGTGCCCTGAGGGTACAGGGGTGCGAGCCAGCAGGACCCACACTCCCCCAGCAGAAAGCCCAGGCCCTGCCTCAAAAAGTGCTCGTTCTCGGGGTGTGGGTGATCCTCAGGGGCTCCCTGCTACAGATCGGCTTCACAGGGGAGGGGCGCGGTTGGTCCCAGCGTGCAAGGCTGACATTCAGGGGACCAATAACGTCTGCCCAGGCAGAGAGCGCTGCGTGTCAGGGCCACAGAAGGGTTTGGGGCAGCTGTACAGATGTCCGGAGATGCAGTGTGCCGGCTCTGTGATGCTCGTATCCGTTCTCCAGTGAATGTCTTGGTCACCACACTCTGTGGAAATGAAAGGCCTGGTGCCCCACTGGGGTGGCCCTCTCGTGGCCAGGCCACAGTGCCCTCCTGCCTGTTGTTAGCTGTGGACCGGACACATGCCGTGTGGGCCTTTAATCTTCTTGAGCAGAATTGACACCTCGTTAAGGAACACGGACTTCCCAGCCTGCCTTGTGGGTGATTTCAGCAGAAGAAGCTCTTAACTTTAACAGTGGCTGAGGGAAAACATCACTGTCCCAGAGCCTTAGGGACAGCACAGGTGACTTCCAGGCACCATGGGTCATGTGCTGCTGTACAGAAACTTGCCCTGAAGGCTGGAAGAGCTGTGGATTCTTCAGTTTGTGCTGTGAAATGAAGCAGCTTTTCCACGAGCTTCAGTATGAACAAACTGAAGACTGACGGCAGGCATTCTGGTCAGCAGGGGCCGGCAAGGTATTGGGGGGGGGGACGGTGCTGAGTCTCTATTTCTGAATATTTCTGATTATAGTACTTCATCTTAATCCATTATTAAGATAAACATAACACCTTTAGGTTTGCATTCTCTATTCAGAACCCGAAAGCAGCTCACTAATGCACTTGTCTGGGGACTGTAGCGTACTCCCAAGTCCTAAAATGGTGAGTAGTTGTATCACAGTACAGAAGACTGACGCCAAAGCCAGGGCCTTTGCGGAATGCTCTCCCTGCCATGTCACTAGTAGTCGTGCCCCTGGCATCGCCCTTGTCTGAAGTCCCTTTCCACTCGTGCAGCACCATGACGGACGTGGGGGTTCCCACCTAGCGCTTACAGGGGCACTCACAAGTCAGGTGGTCCACAGAGTCACAGGACTGGTGAGTGTTGCCTCCCATTGCAAAATCCTCACTCCCCCGACAGTCTTAAAAATAAGCACAAATCACACCATCATGTGCTCTTCGGTATCTTCTTCACTTGCCCCCCAAGGTGGGGGACAGAAGTAGCAGAAACCGCTTGTGTTAGCGTTCGCCTTACTCATCTGAGGAGCACAGCCTCATTCCACTGAGATGACTCCGGAAAGTGGGAAAATGTGGGGTTCTGTATTCCCAGGTATAATGATTCATATAGAAAAGCAAAAATAGAAAAGCAGTGGTGGATTAGCATTCCTCTCAGAATCCTAGATCGGTTCCAAGAACGGACTCTGAAGCTAGTATAAAAAGAGTATTTTTAACAATAAGTGGACTCAGTTACTCATAAATAGCATCTACAGTGCACTTAAATCATACAGACAAAAGATGCTGCAGTGTGTGCCCCCCTTCAGCCGAGACTCGTGCAATCCTTTATCTGTATTCACTGCACAGGTTAACTTTCTTATTCTAGTTCAGCCTTTGCTCCTTACTAAGGACAACAAACAACTATATCCACTCGTCCACACAGAATAAAGCGATGTCAGACTCCAGGGAGCCCTTGCTGCTGTCTCATGTGATCCAGACATCTTCCTTCATGTGACTGCTTGGCCTTCAAAGGCAAAGAAAGGGGCAGAAATAAGGCCAATATTTGGGTAAATAAAACAAAAGTATCTTCTTTTTGTCTGTCTTGTTCAGTTACTGGCTTTGGTTCTGGAATTGAGTCTGGCTGTGCAGACCTGACCATAAAATGCTATTTTAATCTTCTCCATTTGTCAGACATTACTATCATTGCCCAGCTCTGAAGAGAGAAGGAAAGAGAAAAACAGATTTAAACTCCGGAAAATAGAAGGAATTTAGACCTGCCCTGAGATAAATATGCTTAGCAATGAGAACTGGATGAAAAATTCACTGGAGAAGAAAATCCATTGCTACAGGAGGATATCAAGAGGCTAAATTAGCTGAACAGTATATTTACAAAAACAAATACAAAGAATTGACTATAAGAACCCAGCATTTCACTGTGTTGCATACACACACATATCATATCTTATGTTAGAATCCAGATTATAGAATACCAGTCCAGCACCCGTAACTAATATATGACCGAATACAGGCGTATATTTAAATAGGTACTAAGTAGATAGTAATCATATTCATATGTGCCACATTACTGCCTTAAGATTGGAAACACCCAGGGATGCTTTCTTTGTCAGGCATTCTGAAGCAGTGTGCTCCACATTTCTTCAGAAACTGTTTTGGTGACTTGGCTCTTGAGGCATCGGTGCAGGCCCAGCAGCACACTCCCGGCAGACACCGCAGTCTGTTCCGGGGCTCAGAGTTCTCGTCCAGCCAACTGCTCGGCCCAAACGAGTTTCTTTAGGAGGAGGGACAGCGACACCCTCCTCCCTGCAGGATGGGAGCCGCAGGCCTCCTGAGATCCTAACCCACAGGCAAGCTCTCTCCAGTGCCTTGGCTCTGCGTTGCCCACGTTAAGCCAGCAGGGGCGCTCCTTTGGCAAGGCAGACTTTGCAGAGCTGTGCCTTGTTCAGCTGCTGCGTGAGGCTCTGCTGCACAGGCCTTTGCTGCCCTCCGTCTAGACCGCCTCGCCCACCTCCCCATTGGCAGCTCTTCCATCCTGATGCCACCAGTCCCCAGCATGCCCTGCCTTCCCGTGCACCTCGCTGGAATAAGCTGGTCCCCCACCTGTCATCACTCACGCCACCCAGCACCCTTCGCTGGTGCCTTCCCTCGTTCCTCGTCTCTGCAGGACTCACCTCTGTGGTATTTGCTCAAGGAAGTTTGCCCTGGACTTTGAGACTGGGATAAGCCCTGTCCCCATGTTCTGTATCATCCTTCCAGCAGCCCTTCCATCCCGCCCTCCAGAGTGGCCCTGGACACCACATACACCAGAGGCTGGCCACTTCTCATCCCACCTAGTCCGCGCCCAAGGTTTCTGCTGCCCCATCCTGTCGGCTGACTGACTCCTGCCCACTCCAGGCAGCCGGGCCCCCGGGATGCACCCAGGCTGCAGGGCAGAGCAGCGCCCACTGCCCACACTCCTGAGGACACAGCCCACCCTCCTGTGCTCTGCAGGACCTGTCCTGTGCTGGGGCCTTGCTGTGTGGCCCTTGCGCTCCCTGCTCCCCTCGATTTTGACCTCCGGCTTCTCCACTGCCCTCTGTCTCTGAGGCTCTCTCCCCTCACCCCACTCCCACTGCAGGAGCCCTGTTCCCTTCACCTACCAGTGTCCTCCAGACCCTTTCATCTTGTGTCCTGTGTGCTGTTTCTGTCATGTCTGTTTGGTCCTCACAGGGGAATGTAACCTCCGTGAATGATGACCCTAAGCAGAGCAGGCACCCAGTGAACAATGGCTTGTTATGATAGCACCTCACACTCATATTTTCTTCCACCTCTGTTACCAGATCATGAGCTCTTTGAGCCACAGGACATAGATTTCCCCTTGGATCTCAAATCTCAGACATCATATAAATGTTTACTGAAAGAATGAGAAATGAGAAAAATAATCATAGATGAATAGATTCCTGTGTGAAAATTTAATGTATATGTTTTATTCATTAACATTAATTTTAAGAACAAGTACACTGTATGAATTCTGAAGTGGCCTGCTTTTACCTAAACACTGCTTTAGTTGAGAGTATTGTTTCCTTTGAGATAAATGTAAAACCAGATGCACTGCAGCTTGAAGAGGTCCATCACCATCATACCGGGACTCTAACTAAAAGTGATTTTCTTCAGGTCCCCATGGGGTTGGGTCAGGGGCGAGGCCAAAAGGCACATTACCAAATCCAGGACCACTTTCGAAGGTGCAGGGGCTGGAGGAAGGGTGAGTCCTGGCACACACCAGGCAGGAGCGGCCTGCGCAGCAGAGGAACTAAAGACAATCCAGAGGGTTAACACCGGTTTCTTTGTGATCCCTTTTTAATGCTCTTGGGCTACTTTCTCACCAAAAGTGGTTCATAAAACACCCAGACTTTACAAGGTGAGCCTGAAATTCCAAACTTTCAGATACTTTTAAAAAAAATGTTCAAAAGCCTTTTTCAGTTAGTAAAATCTTTCCGTGGAGTCCAGTCATCCTGAACCCTAAAGCAGACATTTGAATGAGAATGACATTGGGTGGTGTGGGGCTCTTCAGAATTACTTTGAGAACCACTCCGTGTGCAAGAAAATGTAAGCTCCCCAGGACAGTGGGAAGGGCGGAAACAGCACATTGAGCATCAAGAAACGCATGCCCTGAGGCTGTGTCCCTCACTCTCCGCGCTCTCTGAGATGACCAGAGTGGAGACCGGAATGAGGGGCTGGTTACAGCAGGCCATCCTGGGAGACAGCTCGGCCCGTTCCTCTGGAGGTGGACCCGGGTGTCAGCATCGTCACCTGCACCCGTGGAAGCAGAGGCGAAGCAGCTGTTGGGGGACCTGGTAACCAGGACGCACCCAGACAGGAAGAGGAGGCAAGAGCTCCGGCC